ATCACCAATTGTCCACAAATATTCCTACAAATATGATTCTACATAATACCAAGCTTTCTAATTAGAATTTATGAGTCTATCATCATAACAGCTAACTCTGAACTAACTACACTAACAGATAGATGGTATTTTTGTGAACCTAACAAAATTAGACTTGCTATTTTTTGACCACTACACAATTTACTACATATTCTTAAAGTTCAGCTTGAAAACTAATTGGAATAAGCAATTCTATTTTACTAGAAATTAAGAAAACGAATTCTAACTCGTGGCCCAACCGCAGGTTCGTTCGACTCGCCCCAGAGTAGGCAAGCGGGTGCACGCCATGAAGCGCGTGGCGAGGTGGTCTCTGCATTGCAGCGGCGGCAGCTGACGCTGACGCTTGAAAGAGCAGCGATAAGAATGACGCCCAGCAATAGCGCGGCGCTGCGATGAGTGGCGTTGCGGCATGATGCGCCGGCGTGCATGTGCGGCAGGCAGCCAAGGCGGCCCAATGCACGCACCTCTCCACGGACGTTGATGCGCTGCAGCGTGAGCCGGCGGGCGCTGGCGCGCGCGCCGAATGGCCCAGCGGCCAGCACGAATGCAAGCGCCGCGAGCGCACGGAAGCAGCCCAAGCTGCCTTGCGGCGCGATCGCGATTTCAGTGTATTCATCGAATTATTTTTCCACAAGAAAATAGCCCTAAAACACGTGTGACGCAGGGATGACGTCATGCTGATGTCAACAAGCTAAAATGCAGAAGAACACATGCTACGCTGCTCGCTTGCTTGCTGCTGCGCGCCGGGCGTGGTTCCGCCGGCCGCGGAGAGGACGCTATAGGGCGGTAGAGCTTCGAATGAGGTGAGCAAGGCGATAAGCAGCTGGAGGAGAGGCTAGCAGTGCACTGAATTGGAATGGCAAGCTCTGGTTCGTGGCTTGTGGACGGCGTAGACCACCCTGGTCTTATGGAGCAGGCGGAGCGGTGATTTCAATTTGAAGCTCTGTGCGGCGGTCTGTGCAGCAAGGTGGGGACGGTTGCACGGCGAGCTACCTAGCGGAGCCGTGGATGCGACGAATTTGATTAAAGTGCTGCGGTCACAGTGAATTGAAGGAAGGAGGTCCCGCCGGTCATGGCGACGACGGAGACAGGGGCTTTGGCACGGCTTGGCTCGGCACACATGGAGCTGTCAATGCCAAGTACCAACGCCCACGAACGACAAGGACAACAAAGTGCGCTCCAGGCGGCTGTCCACACGGCCGACCCGCAAGGCGACGAAGCTCGGGCCTGCGTCACCGCGGACGGCGCCGGACAAGGAACCAGAGCGTGACGCGACGCCGAAGTGACGGTGGTAGCAGGCGGTCGTCCCACACGAGTGCAGTCGTGGCGAGTCAACGGGACCAGTGCCGGGCGCGACGATGGGTGGCATGTAGCACGACCAAGGTACCGCGCAACGCGATGACGAGGTAGAGCTGACAGGACCCGCGCGTAGTGCGCTTGTGTGCGGTGGCAGGCAGCCGAGGCAGTAGTGGTGACCGTGGCCAGCGCAACACCGTTCGAAATAGGTGACGTGCACGGTTTTTAAAGCTGTCATAAAATCCTAGCCAATGGTCCAAACACCAAACCAATTCTTTTAGACGCAAGAGGGTACGTAAGGCTACCGACCCATGCCACGACATCACGCTACTTCTTAAGCCGATTTCCCTACAAAGCTTGCCAAACATGGCTTCGTCGACCCCTTTACAAACTTCGCGAAAGGACTTAAACTTCGAACGGTTTCGCGTCAAATTCCAATTCCGACCTACTAGATGTACTTGCTAGCTATCCTCATCCTCGACCGCACCATCGCCGACTACGAAGCATGTACACAAATTTTATTAAAGCTCGCATAAACGTTCTACAACATTTTTATCCGATAACAATTTGCTTAGCATACTAACGATGTAAAGCGACATGAAATGCTACATTTGTTTCACGTTTCGGATAAACATTTCAAGTGCCGTATTTGATTTATACTCCAAATTACACACATGTACAAACAAGTATGATGCTCATGCAGTGTTTTAGCAAAACAGTACAATGTAACACCGAGGGTGTTACATACAGGCGATTCCTTCTCTCAGCCTTGATCAGAATGCCCCGTTGATGATCCACAGCCTGGTGGCGCTCGAACACCTTCAGGACGCCGTCATCGATCTCGATGCGACACTCCCCTTCCTCCAACTGACCAAGACTAACAATATTGCATTTGAGGGACGGGATGTAGTATACCTCAGTGAGTACACAGTGATCCTGGTTCTTTCCGGCGATCGTCACAGCATTGATCCCGTGAATTTCCACCATGGACCCGTCTTCGAAGCGCACGACGCCACGCACCGACTCGTCAAGGCTCGCCAGCGACTCCCGGCACCCCGTCATGTGGTTTGTGGCACCGGTGTCCAGCACCCACGCCCCGTCGTTGTATTCCACTGGGAACACGCGTTCCTGTTTCAGGAACGCGTGCTGCGCGCACGCAGTCGGAGTCTGCACCAGATTGCAGACCTGCGCCACCATGAGCCCCGGCTCGGCATTGACATGGTGAGTGGCTTCCTGTCGTTCCTCCTTCAGCGCCTTCGTCTTGCACTCCTTCGCGAAGTGCGCGTAGATGCCACACTTGCCCCACTTGCCTTTCCGTCGCGGAGTGCCCATCGACGTGAGCTTCACACTAGAGTCGCGCGCTTCGCCCCCGCCACGTGCCCCGGATCTCTTCTTCTTGACGTAGTGGCCACCTCCCTTGCTACCTGATGATGATGATGCATCCGGCAGCATACGGATGTTGTTCCTGGCCGCCCATTCATCCTCCGTAAACAGGAGACGACCAGTTTTGCCTGTGACCTGCTCCACCGAGGGCTCGAACCGATCCTCAGCCGCCCGAAGACGACCCACAAGCTCCTCGATTGACATCTCCTTCATGTCATAAAACATTTCAATCGCGACCGCCACCTGATTGTAGCGTGTCGGTACAACTCGGAGAAACTTCTTCACAACGCGCGAGTCATCAACGCTTTTCTCCCCGAGGCCACGCAGATCGGTGGCGAGCTTGGTTATGTGAATGGCAAAATCATCAATGGTCTCTCCCGGCTTGAACGAGATTGCCTCGAACTCAGCCAACAACTTCTGGGCGTTCACCTCCTTGACGCGATCTGCTCCAAGACGCATCGTCTTGACCGCCTCCCATGCCTCCTTCGCCGTCTTCTTGTTCAGGAGCATGGAGTGCATCTCTTGTGGCATGCCCCGGAGCATGGCTCTAAGAGCCAGCCGATCCCGACACCTCTCCACCTTGTCAGATTTGATCGCACCCCAGAGAAACATGCCCTCGAGATTGCACTGCACGTGTGAGGACCATTCCTGGTAATTGGTGCGAGTCAACATCGGCCACACCAAATTTCCGGGCCACCTGATTGAACGCCCGCTCCATCACCTCCTTGTCGCTCGGCTCACCCATGTCGGCGACACTAGGGTTCACGCCTCCTTCTTCGAAACGATGGACTGAACCACCCAGCTTCCTCTATGACACCTCCCCGCCACCAAACGCCTCCAACTCCGGCAAGCCTCGGCTCCGATACCACTTGTTGAAACCAGGCGGTGCTCTGGTCCCGGAACGCGACGCCGGAGAGAGCACAGTGACCGCGAGCGAGAGTAAGTAGATGAAACACACACGCGCGAGAACAGGATCTTGGTGCTGCCAAATGTCACAGCTTTTCGGTTCTCTTTGTTGCCTATTTGTTACAATGCAACCCTGGTATCTCGGAACAATCTTTCGAGTCCCCCACGCCACGCCGTATGTAGGATGCTGCGCCGTTTCACCGTGACACGCACCACGTGCTGCAACATACGCCATGGCGCTGACAAACCGATCTGACCAGGCTACGTCGTGGACCAAGCACGCCACCAGCCACGCGCTACCTGCTAGCCTAGCTAACACAGATGAATGAACAAAGTGTTTACATGATAATGATCCAACAATTTAGCTAACAAAAGCGTCGTTCATGATTCGTCGGACACAAAACGCAATCATATACGGTTCGAATGTGCCGACGAAATGATTGATAGAACATGCGTATCACCTGCATATCTAGCTTTCCTTGATTTTTACTCTGACCGTGCGTATTTTATCTGCTCCCTGAACCTGCAGGATTCTGCTGGGAAGTGTGACGAACTATGTGCTGTCGAATGCATCATGCCCTGTGACCGTCGTCAAGTCAAAGTAGTGGCTGACCTTCCCAGCAATATGAATCGGCAATTAGCCTAGCCACCTAGGCAAGCCCAAACAATAAATCAGATATACTGCATCTTACATTCAGCTGTTAGCACTCTATAATTTGTTCTATCTCTAGTTGCTGTAACTGGACATGTTTTTGTTTCTCTTTTCTGGTGATGAAAAGGCCGTCAGGTAAACTGCCCAGTTGTATCAATACATACAGGAGAAAGTCACTGGACAGCGTGACTAAACCATTTAACAAAGGATGATTCGGCTTGTGGTCTAAATTTTCCTCTTCTCTACCTACAGATCTGTATACTAATAAAGTACTATTACTGATAGCTGGTTTCCCGTCCTACGGATTTCAGAGTATCGGGTAGTGCTATATGAGATCATATAAGGGACACATATCAGAACACTAACAGGTGCACAGATTTGCACTAGTCACTATGAATTTCAAATTGCTCCTGTCAAAAATTAGAATCAGACAGTGAAAATCTACGCTGTTGCCATATTATGCTATGTTCTGTCAGTGATTTCTCGAAAACCATGCACGTCATGCTGCAGGAGACGAAAATTGACACGAAACTTTGGTCCAAATGCATTGACACTCTGAAGTCTGAAACTCTGAACCGAATTAAAAGTTTTCAGGAGGCATATTACATACTATAATCCTCTTATCCATAATAAAGTTACAAAGCTAAGGCCCAAACTATATGCATCCCCATGAAATTAAAACATACTAGGAGCTTCTGCACGGGTGGAAACACGTACGCTCACATCAGATGTAGAGATGAGGCTGCAGGATGACGAGGAAGAGCATGAGCAGCAAGAAGTAGATGATGGCATGGACGAGCATGGACGGGAAGCTGGTCTTCATGTTGATGAGGTCGACGGGCCGCTGCCGGCCGGGCATCTGCAGGACGCCGCCCGGGCACAGGAGCGCGAACAGCGCCGTCGCGATGATCGACGGCGCCCAGTCCCTCATCGCTGCTGTGCAGTGCAGGCACGGCCCTGCTCAATTGGCAAGCAGAAAGAGCAGGAGAGGGAGAAGTTTACCAGCGGAAGGCAGGTCACAGGGTCAGGTACTCAGGTACACGGGCACGGTACAGAGGGCGACACGGAAGATAATGCTCTGGGGTATAGAAAGATGGAGGGAAAGCATGGCATCGGGCACCGAGCACACTACGGCTGTCGACGAGGGAATCAGTGGACGGCTGATTGATTGAGGAGGCGTCATCATAACGGCGAATCGGAACTTTTGAGCAGGAAAATGGGGCTTTTTGCGGTGGGGTTAGTTGGGCGCTATCGTGTCTCGGCATGGATAACACGGCCGTCGGCGGATAAGTGTTCACTGTACTACTGATGGTATTTGGGAGGAGATTGATTAGAGGCATGGGTGCGAGTGTGACTTTTTGCTCAAGAATCGAACTAGTCAGCCAGAAGAATTTGCGGACGGCGCGATCGGAATTTTTTAGGCTAACTACCAGAAATAAAGTTGTGCTCACCAAACATCTCTCTTGGATGCAGTTAACGGAAATTTGCTGAAGTTCATGTTCTTTTCCTGCAGCTATTCACTTGCTCGTCTTTACCCGTGCATTTACGAGCAATACACAGAAATCCTCCAGTCCCCATAATTTTGCTTTCAGCAAAAACTGTTGGCCCCCCCGAGTCGGTGTCCGCGGCATGTGAGGTGTTACTTCAGGATTGCTGTTCATGTACCACGGCCGGTGCCGCCGTGCCGGTGAAGAGATCCAGCCCATACGCGTGCCTTGTCGTGTGACGTCCATAAGGGCTGCTGTTTTGGATCTGGTTTGAATGGCGACATGCCTATCCGGCTCCCAATAGCCCATGAATGTCCTCACGCTCTCATCGTTAGCTCGTTACCAAACACGAGTTACGACGGAAGCTCAATTTTGTTGCACCGATGGCAAATACTAGTACTACTTGTGATTAGTCGTGGATCTTTGACTCTTTGTATAGTCCCTCCCTTTTTCTTTTTTTTTTTTGATACTTAGTCCCTCCCTTCCTGGTTATTCAGTTCAGAGCGCTCCATCAAGCGGAAGGTGGTCACTGGCCACGGGGACATGGCGGGTACATGCTCCTACTTGAACAGCGGGCACAGGCGCACAGCCAAATGCTGACAAGGACCAGATGCTAAACCTAAACATGCGCATCAGATGCGCTTCTCCCAGCTCCCACGCTTTTCAAGCGAAGACTGCAGTTTCCTAAAGCCGCCTTTTGTTACCTGTTGGGGGGGAGGGGGGAGATAGTCCCATCCCTAAACCCAGTGCGACTGGGCCCGACTCACATATCAGAATAGTTTATTTCAGTTTAACTGGATCCCAATAACTGGATTAGTTTAATCAATCGGATGGACGTCGCCCACGACGCTCCGTATGTCGCCCACGCCACCCCAAACATCGCCGGTGCCATCAACCGTTTTTCACACACATTCCATGTGCAACACCTAATCATTTTTGAAACATCCAGATACAACAGTTGCAGCATACAAAAGAAGACATGAAAACTTGAAACACTTGCGAAAACACCTGAAAAAATTTGAAAACCATTACAAATATATGCAACATTCAGATAAAACATTTACAAACATACGTATTAAAAAACTAAAAACACTTAAAACATATGTTTGCAACATGCATGTATATACAACATCTAAATCTACTTTTGCAACATCTAGATAAATCACTTGCAACATACGTCTAAAACAGATGAAAACATTTAGAACATACACTTGAAACATACGTGTATATCTATTACAACATGTGCAACATTCCGATCTACTTTTGCAACATCGATATACAACACTTGCAACATACCACTAAAATATCTGTAACACTTGAAACATACTCTTGCAACATGCGGTTTTCACCGTTCTTCTTCCGTACGATGCAACACGGAGGGGACGGCCGATTTGGGCGATTTGCAAAGCGGCCGAGGATGGTGGTGCACTGGCAACAAACTAAATTGTACTGCTCAACTGCCGCTTTGGGCCCGGCCAATGACGGCGCCCTTTTCCTAGCCCGCTGCCTAGGCGCAATGAAGGACGAGCAGCATGGTATGGCGCGACATGGGATGAAGGCGGGGATAGGGAGCGACGTGGGGGATGGCGAGGCATGACGTTGAGGCTGGAGGGGTGGTCGGCCAGCACCGCGGCTGGCGAGAGAGGGAGGAGCGATTAAAAACCAAGGAGCGCAGAGTGGAGGAGGCGCGAGCAGCGTGGGGTTGGGAGCGGATGCGGCGCCGCCACACTGGAGAAGGCCACGGCGAGGAGCCTCGCGCTGGAGAAGGGAGCAGCTGTTGTTTTTTTTTTGGAGAAGCGGACAAACGACCAGCGCTAGATAAGACGGAGTGCTGTCCGGTCTATCCGGATGCCCTACAGGGAGCATTACCATAGTTTAATTCAGTTTAAGTCCTGATAAGCTTGGGTCTCCGTAAACAAGAATGTAATCCTAGATTTAAAATAAGCCCAACTATTTTTTTAAAAAAATAACAGATTTATCAAAATAAAAAACAATATTTATATTTCAAAATAGTTTTACTATAAAATATATTATATGATTAGTCTAATAATATTTATTATATATCATAGTTTTAAGTCTGAACGCAACTCTCGTTCGAGCGCACCCACCGCGCCCCGTCCTGTCCCCTGCGTAATAGAAACATGAGCGCGCCCGCGTTACCCCCCGGCCCCGTCTGTAACGACCCAAAAATCGCTACAATAGTTCATAGGCACCTTAAGCATAAAAATACATCTAACAATTCCATTAATCAAAAACTTGCATGTTACTTGTGAATTTGCTGAGCATCATGTGCATCTTAGTCCAAATTAGAATTCAACTTGTGCCTAGGCCAACCCAAAATCGAGCATTGCTAGTTTTAGCGGATCGTTCGGCATCACCACTGGATCGTCTATCAAGATATCTCATAGACTTAGGATAATCTTGACCAACCCGTGCACTGACGGAGTGTTCGTTGAAACCGTAGCACACTTAGCCATTCTATCGGAGAGTCCACCGCACCTGACGGACTGTCCAATAAAACACACCGACGCCTGTCTCATGCAGTTTGATGCGGTGTCACACACACACACACACACCACATATGTCCCCACTTGTCATTGGCACCACTCACACACAAAACCAACACATCAGCCCTCTCTCTCTCTCTCTCTCATTCATTCACGTTCAGCCAACAGAGAAAAAGAGAGAAAGGACAGAAGAGAAGAGGAGAGGAGAAGGAAGAAGAAGAGAAGGAAGAAGAGAAGGAGAAAGACGCCTTGCTGCTGGAGCATGTCGGCAAGCTGCTCCACCACGGCGCCGTCGACCTTGCCGGAGTTGGAGGAGGAGGCCCCCAAGCGCAAGCCGTCATCTTCAACCTCGAACACATGGCGTCCCGAAGCTCGATCTCCTTCCTTAGGCCGTACTAAGGCGAACTCTGTAGGTAGAAGTCACCCAAGGCATGGTGAGCACATCCCTGAAGTTCATCTTCATCCTCCCTAACCCTACCAAGCTTTTCCATGAGCTCCATGTCTCATCCATGGTGGTTTCCACCATTGACAAGGTTGAGCTCCCCACAGCCCATGCATGACACATCCAACACTTGTAGAAGGTTCCCTACATCACTAGAAAGCCATAGGAACAAACCGCATTCGATTCGGGGTCCGCATGTCCTGAGAATCGATCCCAACATGTTGGCATAGCTACTGTTCGTCGTTTATCGGATGGTCTGTTATTTTGGCGGAGTGTCCGTTGAATTATAGCCAAAACCCAAGAGCAGCTTGTGTTTATCGGACGTTCCGATCTTAGTTCGAAGTGTCCTATAATCTTTGCACGTGTGCACAACCTACACTGGTAAAATCCATAGAAGGTGCATTTGACCTCAAAAATGGTGAAATGAGTTTGGTTGTGCTCCATAGAATATCCACTATCAGCTGGACATAACTTTGACACCAAAGGGCATATCTCATTTTTGACCACCGGAAGAGGCTAAGCCCTTATAATTCATCGGAGGCTCCGCCACACACACCGGAGTGTCCAATGAGTTATAAATCACAGACATTGAGTTACCCGAGAGCACAGGCTTCGTACTGGAGAGTCCGATATTAGATCGGAGGGTCCGATGTTCCCAGTATGTCCTTTTCCCACTAAGTCCCAGAACCACCGGACTGTCCGGCATTCACGTCGGACTACCCGATGACACAAACCGACAGCCCTTCAATGTATACCAAACACTCCCTCTTGAATGTTTAATATAATGTCATGCATACATAAGTATCTCATACATGGACATATGTATAGGTACGTGATATCTGAGAGACGTCCAGCGATGTTCCAAGCTATAGGATCCTTGCTCATCCAACAAGCAGACACCCCACTATTATAAACCCTACTTTGGATACTTATCAAGTTGCATTATGAGTTATGCATTGCATGTAGTCTTGGATAATGATCACTCTTATACTACACCTAGAGTAGTTTAATAATCTATAGAAGCCTCTCATATAAACAAGGGACAATTGTCTGGCGGACATCCAAAGTGATGGTCCTTTGCTGGCGGACACCCACTTTGGAGCATTTTGCCAGAAGACACTCTAGTTTGGTGAAATTAGGCCACAGGACACCGTGGACCGGCTGCGGCCGGTTGAGGAGAGAGAAAATTTTATTTTGGACATTCGGTGCCCCTAAGCCACAATTGGGTCTGCCCCTCTCCCTCTCACTGATGTGTGGGCCCCACTTGTCATCTTCTTCTTCCTCCTCTTCTCCTCTTCTCTTCTTCCATTGGTCGGCCTCCTCCACCTCCTCCGCGCGCTGCTCGGAGGTCCACGCCCACTCGTGTCGTCCTCAAAGGTCCACACACTCATGTCGTCCTCGGAGGTCCACATGTCCACGCCCACTTGTGTCGTCCTCGAAGGTCCGCGCACTCGCGTCGTCCTCGGAGGTCCGTGTTGCTCGGAGGTCCACATGC